TTGACGCTGGTATTGTACACAGGTAAGTTGGGAAACTAGGGATCGAGCCCTGGGATCTACCTCAGCTACCACGAATTGGTGAATACCGTTTCAATATATATATATATATATATATATATATATATATATATATATATATATATATATATTCAAGCGAAATAGCCCTTGTCACCTTGTGTAAGACCTCTAAGAGAACCGTCAGAATTGAGGTTTAATCTGTCGGGCTGCCCCATCTATCGGTGGGGAGCGGCACCTGCTGGAAACCGGGTCCAGCGTCCCATTGGTACATCTTTGTAGTAAAGAGATTGATGTTTGATTGTTTGATTCTTTCCTGGACGTTTCTCTTGTCATCTCGGGGCTCCGTTTTCCCTTGGAGCTGCTATGAATACCCATCTCATTTTGGAGCAGCCCTTGACTATTAGCTCAGAGTCCCAAAACAAGCTCCATTCTATTTGTGGGGAGCAACATCTGCTGGTAACTGGGTCCACGTGCTCAACTGTTTCCTCTACCAAGAACACCTCCTACCCATTAGAATCGCTTGTTTAAAAGGTTTGACGGGGCTGTAGGATGTCGAAGTGCCGTCATGTGACCTATTTCATTACTTTTCTTTTCTTTCCTTTTCCTCTTTTTTTTTTGGTGAAAGCCCCTGTGTAAGCCCTCCATCGCGGCAGTGGTAAGAGAACTGTCCGAATTGAGGGCTTATCTATTGGGCTGCTCCATCTATTGGTGGGAAGCTGCACCTGCTGGAAATCGGGTCCAGCGTCCCATTAAAATTGACATGGATCACGGGCATTGTTATCTGTTGTTTCTGTGGCTGCAGCCCTATCTGTTGACTACCCGGAGCTTTGATTGTCCCATGGAGCTGCCAGTAAAACCCAACCCGTCTAAGAGCCCTTTTTATGTCCGACCCCAGCCCTGTTCAGCATCCCCCCTGTTCAGTGTCACCCTGTCCGGACCTTGGCACCCTTTAAGCCATAAACCCTCATTAAACCCTTGCGTGGCGTTCAGAGCATGAAGATCTACCCTGGGTGGAACGTGTTACAGAGCAATGCAAAGATTCTGTAACCTTACCTACTACCTTTCTGACCCCACAGTTGCGTTTATTAGTCCCATCTACAACGATCCACTCCTTGGTCATGTAGTTCTGAGTTGTATGGTCAGCAGGGGTCCCCCCAGCCCCTGTACTGAGGGGGGGGCGTGCTCATCACAGTTACTGCTCGGGTTCGGTGCAGGGCTGCCTTAGTGTCCTTGATGAGATACTGAGAAGCCGTTGTAACGTTGTTGATGTTGGCTGTTGTCGCTGAAGGATGCTGATGTACTTACGATGTGAGTCGGCTGGCCACCCGGTGGGGAGGGTCTGGGATCGGGAAAGGGACAGGCTAAAGTGTGGAGCAGGGCAGATGGGGGGGAGAGCAGGAGACAGCGTAAGGGAAGGGGTCTTTGTCAGCGGGGGAGGCGGAGGGGACTGTGGAGGGTGGGGAGGGGGTGCAGGGTGGGGAGGACATCGGAAGGGGAGGGGGCGGTGGTGTACGGGGAGGGACGCCGGTTGGGACCGGGGGAGGGGGTGTTGGGGTCGGGGGGGGCATTTCAACCGGGAGGGGGGGAGTCGGTGAAAGGGCCGATGTAGGTGAGCATGGAGGGACAGGGGGGGGGCGAGGCAAGGGGGAGCCGGAGGGGCCGGCAGGGGGGGAACAGCGTGTGGGATGTGATCCTGTCGCCTGGGGCTCAGGTTTCCTTCTGTCATTGCGCCTGTATTCGGACCTGGCAGTGGTGTAGGGAAGCATCCTGGTGGTCTCTGCGGTGGTCCTGTGCCATCCAGTTTTTCCACAATATCCTTCCGTTTTCCTGTACCCCAGCCAATTTTTGGTGCGGGTCGATCCAGTTTTTCACAAAGGTCTCTCGTAATTTCTGCCTGGCCACTTGGTCAGCGGTCGTTGCCATAGTCTCTGCCAGTTTTTTGCTGGCTTTCAGCATGTTTGCCTGAATGACCTCTGCTAGTTCGGCGTTGGCTTGGTGGAATCAAAAGGCAGCGTCTTCCCTTTCAGCTGAGCATCTCATTCTCAGAGCAAGCCTCATGTGCTTGAAGAGGTTTGCTTGAAAAGGTGACCACCCTGTCGGATAGTCCACAGGTTTGCCTGGGAGGATAAGCGCAATGTTCCATTGGAAGGTGGATCCGGTTATGTCGGGCCACAATGCATCCCACCATTGCCACACCTGTACCGCCATCGGTCATGCCAGCAGGCAGTGCTCCAAATCAGCGCACCTGCGTTGTGCGTTAGGGCCACAGTGGGAGCAAATAGGGGACAGGAGACCTGCTTGCTCCAGATTGGACCTTGAAGTTACCCAGGCCTGTGTCGGAAGGCATCGGTGTGTGATCTGCCATTGCAACGCTCGGTGGGATGTCGACATAATGTGTGCGTAGGTGGCCCAATGGATACCATGTACATTCTTTTCATCTATTGGTGAGTCCCTTTTCCATCGGGTTTGGACCACCGGTGTAGAGATGTACAGTGTGTGCGCGTGTTTGTAACCTTGTCTCACCGAATATTGCCATATCGGTGTAGGATCTCTCCCTTTCCACTCCCATTCATCTGGGTCGAATGGGAGTGCACACACTGGTGTGGCCATTTCATAGGCAAAGTATCCTATGTCGTTTGAGCCCACCACCCTCACCCTAGTCAATCCTTCAACCGGGAGTGTGCAGTCCTGATCTCTATCCCTTTTCAGCAGCGCCCACCGTGCCCCTGGCATGTCTGGTATGTAAGTTTGAACTTGTGCCTCTTGACCAAATATGCGCATTTTATTTATCTCAGTTTTTTTTCATCAAATCGCAATTGCGCATAACGGGAATC